CGATTTTGATATCATCTCCTTGTCGGGGACTTCCATAAGCCCAAGTTTTCTTCACGACACCTTGAGGATACTGAATACCTGAAAGATTTGTCGCTTGATTGCGGTAGGACAAAATATTGGGTGTCTGGTTGAGGTTGCTGATCCGGCTTGATTCTGAAGGCTGTTGCTTTTGCGTTTGCGGTAGATTGTTTAAATTGAATCCTGAACTAAGCGCAACAGGATTTGATGCACCTATCGTCCGAGGTGCTGATGATGAAGGCATCGTCGATTTTGTAACATTTTGCTTCCCACTTCGCGCTTCGTGCTCAGCGAGAGGACTGGTCGCCTTTCTCTTGCGGCTAGGTTCTGAAGACGATCCACCGCCTTCCGTTTGTTCTTTTCTGTTTCTTGCTCTTTCTAATCTCTCCTCCTCCATCTTCTTTCTATCGAACTTTCCCAGAATGCCAAGGGTTGTGCCAGATGCTGATTCTGCAGTCGATTGAACTACTGTGGATATCTTTTCGATAGCTGCTGGTTCATCATTTTGCTCCAGGCCACGTTCTTCATTCAAAGCTTTTTTCTCCAGATTCTTAGAAGCTGCTATCGATAAGTCTTGCACGCGGCTAGTTTTCGCGATGGGGTTGTGCAACGATCTAACAGGCCTCGCAACCACCGGCGCGTCCAAATCATCCTCCTCATCGCTGCTAACAAGATCGATGACATTCTTCTTTCTGGTACCTTCATAACTTACATCCTCATCTCTCACCACCCCAGATTCTTGGAGAGAAAGCGCAATTGCTCTTTTAAGCTCATCGTCTTGGTCGCTTTCAGACATCGTAAGCCGTGGAAGCCTTCACTGCAATGATACTATTTGGATTGTCAAAAGCTCTGTATGCGATGAATACAGAAGCTCAGTGATATTCAATTGAGAAACGTCTGATGAGGTTGGAATCGTGTTGTGGTTTGACAGGGTGTTTGTGCCTGCCGTGTCCAAATATTGAGGTACACGGTCTCACGTGATCTAAAATGACCCAATGTCAATATTGACATAATTATTATTTCTCGACATATCTGCTTTTCAATTGTCAATTGTAAACTTGGCCAATTCGACCATGAAGGTTTGACTCCTGTCGGCTGATGAGAGATGTCTGAGATAATATCGAAGGAAGACGTAAAAAAGTCCACGCCGCATTATACTACGATTCTACGTCGATGATGCTAAAAATATGGCACCTCATTGATTAGTGCATTGAGAAGCTCGATGCCTAGATTATCAAGGAAAAGAATTTCTCTAGTTAAGATCGGTGGGTATATATCTTTGTCACTACTAATTACATAATTTATACATTCCATTTACGTGCTTGTCAACACACATTACAAAAGCGGAAGAAGAATATATTATGCCACACTAAACACGATCTTTATATACTGACATTTATATCTAGGTATAATCTACGTTATCAGTGAATTTAGAAGTGGCAGAGACGTAGGAAATTGGATGTCACACGGGGTTTAAATTTAAAGTGACCCTTGCTTAGTTCCACAAGTCACTTATTCTCCACTCATATCATGTCTTAGATGACACAGCAGCCTCGACTCTCGATAGAGCTCACTATAAGTATCATTCTGTATGGCTCATACCTTTCAGATAAAAGCACATGTAGCTCAACACATCAAATCAACCATGATCTTCTGGATGTGGAACCTCGTACCGCAAAACTGTCACCTAGACGAATTCGAATTTTCCTGCTTTATCACACACTTATTTTATTGGTTCAAAAGTTACTGAACCCATTTTCTCATCCAAGTGATGTATCATATCTTCATTCTAACTTATGCCACGCCTTGGTGCCCAGAAGCACCGCCACCTCCCAGCTTGAGTTTCAAAACATTATACTATCCCCTCCGACTCGATTCAAAAACTCATAAGGTATAGTGCCTTTTGTGTCAATAAGTACATCATTTAAGACTGAAGCATATAAAAATGTTCGACTGATTAGAAAGACGACCAGAATTGGTGCGTTTGATCGAATGAGTGGTAGACACGAATCCCACTCTTACGAAATTACATTGTTTACATCTCATAAGCAATCTCAAACCGGATCAACTTAGCGAATGTGAATATAATATTCGCGTGTGGTGCCTATAACCTACAAACAAAAAATAGCGCAGAATCATATCTAAGTTACAATAAATACACCCTTCTTAAACCTCGACAAGATGCTTCAAGTACCAGTCCTCTGTAGGAATGAGTTGACAAGCTCTCAGCTCAACAATATCAAAACACGACTTCCTAGTACTGCTTTTAGAACAAGCATATCTACCGCGTTTCAGGCAGAAAACTATTATTCTACAGTAAGAAGATGTTCCATTCGGACTACAACTACTGGTTTATAAATTGTTACCTACGCTCAACATCTACTAAAACGACGAGCATCACATCTACGACCCTCTGAATTCTTTCCATTCGGATAACTGGTGACATGGCGACTTGACACTCTACTCTATACGAGAGATTGGTATACTCTGGCTTTTGGTTTCCTGTTGATCACACGCGAAATGAGAAGGAACTTAGGTAAATTTCGATATCACCTATTCTCAAGCTCCTGATAACCCCGCTCATTTATCACCTTCTTTTGTCACCTAACTAGAATACACTCACAACAACCTTCCCATCCAACCCCCCGTACAAGCTCACCCAACATTCCAAATCCCCTCAAACCCAAATATCAGCCAGTAAACTGTCATCAATACCAAAACCCTCCATCCCCATCCATAACCCCCGGCGCTTTCTAACACTCTCACCCTCCCCCATCCAACCAGATCTCCGCTCATCCTCGCCCAAAATCGCCTCAGCGTAATGACACTCTTCCCCTCGTATCCCCACAAAGCCAAGCCAGGCACAGTGGTTATTGTATTTTCGAAGTATCTACGTTCTTCTGGGCACTAGATCCGGAAAGTTGTGATATCCTTGGATGCTCCAAACCATAACTGTGTGAGGGAGGCAAAAAAGAAAATGTTGGTTTTAGGAGTAGAATAGGAAGGGGAGTTGAATAGTTTTAGAATTTGGTAAAGGGACTGTGGTTTTTTAGAGGGAAGGGGAGTTCGTGGGTGGTGTAGGCTGTTTATTGAGATGTAAGATGGAGGGTTGGGAGAGACGGAAGGTGTGTGTGTGTGCTATTCTAATTGCTAGGTGCTCTAATATCCTCATCTCATCTACTGTCTATATACCATCTAACTAAACGATTTCCGTCTATCCCGATCCATTCAAACTTTTATCCCAATCAAACCAAGTCTCTATCCAAATCCATTCAATTCTTAACCTTCCCTCCCCTCCATAATTCAACCCCACATCAACCCCCTCAACCTCTCCTTCTCCTCCTCGCCCCCAAAAATACAATCCACCGCACTCCTCGCCAACCTAAAGATCTCCTGATCACTCAACCCAAAATGCTCCGCAACAAGGCGATACTCATTCGAAAGCGGCGATCCAAAAACCCCAACATCATCAGTCTATCCTGTTAGCCTCATCCCCTAAAAATACAAAACGGAAAGCAACTCACACTCAAAGCAACCGGACACCCCCTCCCCCACCACTCCCCAAAATGATGATCCCCATAACTCCCCGTAATCATCTTCGCATGCACATTACAACTCAAACACAACTCCAACCCAATCCCCCTCCGTTCAATCTCCCTCTTCACATCCCCGGGGACATGAATCACATGGCCAATCCTTCGCGGATTGTACTCGAGCAACTTCCACAACTCCTCGGGCCGCGACGACCACGGCGCCTCGGCGAAATGCAGCGTGATAGGCAGGTTTGCGTCGGCGGCGCGCGCGAATGCGGGGCCGAAGATCGAGATGTCGCCCACGGAGGGGTCGCCGCAGAGGTCGATGCCGATTACGCCGGCGGTGCGGTGGGCGAGGGCGAGGGTGACGACCTCGTGGGCGGTGGCGAGGGTGGAGCGGCGGTCGATGGAGAGGATGAGGGAGGTTTTCATGGGGGTGTGGGTGTTGGAGGTGGTGATGCAGGAGAGGATTGTGCGGATGTAGTCTGTTGTTGTGATGTTTGCGGAGGGGATGGCGCGGCTTTGCAACTGTTAGTTATTGTTTTCTGGCAATTCAAATGTGGTAGAAGGAGCGCATAATACATACGGAGTTGTGCGGAGTTCGAGATAGATTACACCGTCAGAGGCGAAAGAGTCGAGGACTGAGTTTGTGGTCGTTGTGATAGAGGGGAGGTCGTTACAGAGGCCGTAGATGTAGCTAGAGAAGAGGGGAAAGAAGCTGGAGGTTGTCAGTTGGATAGTAGGTAGATTGTGTAAGAGGTGGACTATCAACAGTGTGGTAGATTAGGTAGGCAAATAGGAACCATCTTGATACGGAGATTAGGGCAGGTTTGCTTGTTACAAACTTGTCGTCGCTCAAAGAAAAGGACTTGACTGATGCTTCAGCACGACTAATACGCGATCGAGCAGTGTTAGGTAGCTCTACGGCTGTTAATACATTTGGATAGTAACATCTAAAGGTGACTTCAGGCAACAGTATGTGATGATTGTGGGTGGTACAATATAGGGGCAGTTCTAGCCGAGCTTGAATATAAACTCTTCATCGATCCAGAACATTTATGCGATCGCGAAGACATTCTACGTTCGCAACACGGCCAACCATATTGTCCGAGTCTTGTTGATGAATTTAAAATAAAAATTGCGACTCATCATACACATCAGGAAACTTTTCGAAGCAAATTAAAGTCGCAAAAACAATACATATCGAAAAACCGCACTTACGTCTCCAAATCATAATCAAACTTCCCCACAGGCATCTCCTCCAATGGATCTCTCAGATCGGTCTCACCTCGCGATTTCTTATCTAGCCATACATCGTGAAGACATTCTCGACTGATGCTCCCACTAAGATGAGCATGTAACTATTACACCTTCAGCTTCTCGTTCGCACACGTTTCGGACTCCATTACTGGTTTAAGAGAAAACGACGGAGGGAGGGGTCTTTTCAGCTGCCGGTTGTTATAATGCAGCAACACTTGCTTCGAATCAAGTGAGTAGGTGTGGTCATCTTGAACAACAAGCTCCAACCGCGCCGTACCCAAACAGACGACCAGCGTCCAGGCTGAGATGATCCACAAGTAAGAAAGTTGAAGCAAGCGCTAGTGCTAACATGTTGACAGGGCCAAGTCGAGAATTGCAGACTTCCAGCTACGTATGAACCCGCTGCCAAAGGACATAGGCTGGCGCAGAGATAGAATGCTGACCAACAAATCCGTGCGGTGCAGCAAGCGCTCTCAAGCAGTCATGGATGTGGTCGAGGTCGTACAGAAAGATCCGGGCCAACATGCAGCCCGAACTGTCCCTCTGCAACCGCACATCTGACGTTCATCTTATGTTGTGTATCCCTCGGGTCGGCAGCCAGGATGGACGGAGTGAAAGCAGCAAACGCTGGAACCGCCCGATGAACTTTCTCCAGGAGAGGAATAGAAGGACGCTTACCTCTATTTTAGGCAAAGCTCGAAAGTCAATGGCGGAGGGAGGCTTAAAAGACTCCATCTTGGCTGGCTCTGCCGGTGGTACGAAATCTGGAGAAATGCGGTCGCCGGTAGTATTCGCTTGGGTTTTGGCACAAACTTGCGTTTGGTGATAGGTGGATGGGAGGTTGAGATGATTCGTGGATGAGAAATCCCAATGTGCGTCTCGTCTCGTCTCTCCCAAAGGGTGGGGGAAGCGGTTCTGCAACGCGAGCTTAAAATCATCTCCCGAGCGCGGCTACACCTGCACCATCATGATATCGGCTCCGAATTTGAGCTGCTTGCTTGTACAAGCGCTGTAAATACACATATGGTGGGTATCGAACTATCGAATTTGACCCCTTTTCATTGCCGAGAGTGTCGTATCATGTCGGTGACAAGATGTAGCGCCGATGATGCTCGCTCGAGCACTGAGCAACCAGGAACTTGGAACACTTGGGGGAATAATAATCGTTATAAATCTCCGGGTTCTCGATTTCTTGATATCTCGGCATGCCCAAGCGGTGGCGCAAACTGGTGGGCACAATCCGATCTCGTCATGTCCCAGAGGGGAATTCTGGGATCTCAGGACGCAGGAAGCGTTCGTCCGCTCGATCCCAGAAAATGTATTCGACAACTTGGAACCCTTCATCACATCCCGCTATCATAGGTGGAGGAGGTTTGAAGGGCTTACCAGACGAGCCAGTTCCATGGTGCTGTCCCACTCTGCGTCTGCGGGAGTTGGCCGCCAGGGCTGTGGTAATTTTTGTTCCGTCTGGCCTTTGGGTACTTTACGAGCCACTTCTCTGTATGCACAACCACAGGTGAACGCATTTTACATGCAGTCGTACAATCTGGTTTGACGGTAATGGATTGGGTATGCAGAGCGTCGGGTACGTCCGTAGGTCGCAGATGAATAGGTACCAATGAGTTGCAGAGCGGTCATTTGTGAGCGAGTCAGCATCACGATGACCTGACTGCCATCAAATTCTCAGAGCTATCGCAAGAAATCTTGATATCAACTCAAAATCGGTGCAATTGAGCAGGTAAGTGTTCGTATCTATGCATCGTACAGAGACAATTTCGTGGAAGCTGCAGCAAACCTTACCAGACAATAGATTGAGGACGAGTGCCAGGCTCGAGCTGCCCCTCCATGTCGAATCATGATTGCAGTTGGCGCGCCCGGCAGCCGGACGTACATTTCTGTCGTATCGGGATCCGGTGTAAGTTTTGGATACACTTATGGATGTCCCAATTAGAGGATTGATAATTATTCTCTCCGAGATTCATTATTGTCTCATCTCCTCAGATGTGTGTCGAGTATTCAAGCGGTCAAGATGAATCAGAGACTATGTGATCACAACTGGGACGTTATGAGCAAAATCTGTACTCACCATGGCAGCCACCTGGCGCAACGTCTTCAGATTGGAGAACTAGACCGTTGATGAAGCAGTTTCTACCGGCCATAGAAAAAGAAATACACTATCCTTCTCGGACCGTCTTACTCGGTTCACAAATCCGCTGGGCTGTCATGACCGCTGGGCTTGCAGTATTCGTCAACTTGGCATGAGTACGGTGCTACTGCAATGTACGGAGTACGTTTGTGGATGCTGCTGGTAGATTCTCATCTCTCCACATGCATATGGCGCAGCGCTTACCCGGAGTACAGGAGGAGAGAATGAGTGAATGAGATGAGAGAAAGAGATGGTTGAAAAGCTCATAAATCGGAGTTAGGAAATACTTGTAAATTTTCTGGATTGAAGCTTCAAAGCCACCCTGTGCAAAGTTATGTGTTTCTGCGTCTTCTCTCCCATACTTATCGGTTCTTCTGCTTCTTCTCCTTCCCCTTTCACACTCTCTCCGAGTCCCATCACCATTCCATCTCCCTCTCCCACCCACCGGCAGCTGCTTGGTACCCGCATCCGCAGCCGCGCTCCCTCTCACGATTCGCTCCCTTCGTGCTCTTGCTCTCCTGCTTGCTCATCCGTCGGTGCGCCACATCTCCCATCTCCCATCTCCCATCTCCCAATGCTCAAGCCTCAAGCGAGAAAAAGAGATCCGCTCGCTTCTCCCGTAATGTAAAATAACGCTAAATGCGCCCGCGCTAGCCCCCTTTGGGCATCAAGGCAATACGCACCAGACGGCCTCTTTCCATCTCCAGCTCTGCCAGTGCCCACTCTGCGCTCTGCCCAGGGCCTTTTCTGACTTTCTCCACACCCAAACTTCCGCCTGGTCGCTCCTGCTGCTGCTGCTGCCCAATAACCTCTGGTCTCTGGCCTCCGCCGTCCCCCAAGCTCCTGCTCCCGCTGCGCTCGCGTCGCTTCTTCCTCGACACTTCACCTGGTTCAATTGATCTGGTTTGATTTGATTATTGCCTGCACGAGAGTGTCCGCCCCGACTTCGAAAACCCTCATCGCCGTCGCTTTCTCCTCCACATCCACAACCACCATCATCAGCCACCTCAACTCATCTTCGACTCGAGCCCTCACGCTCTCGCATCCCTCCCTCGACAGCGACCGTGATCGTGGACGGCTGGCTCATCAACAATCTCCCACCACGTCGGCTTCGACCAGCGCCCCGGCCAGCTTTCTTCCGTTTGGCGCAACCCCTTACCCCTACCGACCACCCCGACGACCTAGCCTCATCTCAAATTCCAACGTCCTCCCTTCTTCCAACAACACATCGACACCGCCGACCACGCTTGAATCCGCAGAGCACAATCCGCCATCATGTCGATGTCGCAGCAAGATGTGACGCCCGAGGCGATGCAACAGCGCATTCAGCAGGCGCGACGGGAAGCGGAAAGTCTAAAGGACAGAATCAAGCGCAAGAAGGATGATCTCGCGGACAGCACTCGTAAGTGATCTCTCGACCGCAAATTGATCCTCGTCGCTCCTCTCATGCGAGTTATTCGGTGCGATGGGTCATACGCGTGATGCTAATCAATTGTTCGCAGTCTCGAATATCGCGAGGAGTCAACAGGAGGCGTTACCGAAAAACACGATGATGAAAATTAAGAAGACACTGAAGGGACATCTCGCAAAGATCTATGCGATGCACTGGTCGACTGATCGGAGACATCTCGTATCCGCATCGCAGGACGGAAAGCTCATCATTTGGGATGCCTACACAACAAACAAAGTCCACGCCATTCCCCTGCGATCGTCGTGGGTCATGACCTGTGCATATGCCCCAAGTGGGAACTACGTTGCGTGTGGTGGTCTCGACAACATCTGCTCAATTTACAACCTGAATCAAGCTCGAGATGGGCCACAAAAAGTCGCCCGAGAATTGTCTGGTCATTCTGGATATCTCTCGTGCTGCCGTTTTGTCAACGACCGAGTTATCCTGACCTCTTCTGGCGACATGACATGTATGAAATGGGATATAGAATCCGGACAAAAGGTCACGGAATTCGCTGATCATCTTGGTGATGTGATGAGCATCAGCATTAACCCTACAAATCAGAACACCTTCGTGTCTGGTGCTTGTGATGCTTTCGCAAAGCTGTGGGATATTCGGGCGGGCAAAGCCGTACAAACATTTGCCGGTCACGAGTCCGATATCAACGCCATCCATTTCTTCCCCGACGGACACTCGTTCGTCACTGGTTCAGACGATGCTACATGTCGTCTCTTTGATATCCGAGCTGATAGAGAGCTCAACCAATATGGAGTAGGAAACCCCTGATCTCCATTACTCGCACATACTAATTATATCACAGAATGAGTCCATTCTTTGCGGTATCACTTCAGTCGCAACCTCTGTATCTGGAAGACTTCTCTTTGCCGGTTACGATGATTTCGAATGTAAAGTATGGGATATTACAAGGGGTGAGAAGGTCGGATCATTAGTCGGACATGACAACCGTGTGAGCTGTCTGGGTGTTAGTAATGATGGCATGAGTTTGTGCACTGGATCATGGGATTCATTGGTGAGTACATTCTGCACACTATAAGAACTTCCAAGCTAACGTTCGCCTCTCCAGCTCAAAATCTGGGCCATGTAAAATCATGTATATCAGCGGATTCGGCCGGCGTTTCTTCCTCAGTTGTGGCAGAGCAACTTTTTAAGCTTGGGATAGCTTCGCGAGTCGGTCACATCTACGGATGCCCTTAATCAACCTATACCAGATACGTCACCTTAATCTCTGCGACTCGGCGTAGACTGGACGAAGTTACGAATATCACTCGAAGCTTGGTGCAGCAGTTTATCGATACTCGACCCGATCGTTGATTTCATTAGAGCGCTAGGATCTCGACCATTGGCCTCGAATATTCGATTCTTTGCTCCATAATTCCTCTTTCACAATATTCTTGTTTGTATGGGCTGGGTTGATTTGCATTGCTCCTTTTCCCGGTGTGCGTGTGCGCGTATTGTTGTTTGCGATGATATCCTACCGAGAGACATCAGGTCCTAGACCCTTACTTCCGACCCAACCATCACGTTGTTCTTCCCTTTTCCAAACATAACATTGTTCGTTCTATTTTTTCCTCCCTTTTTCAAGTTCTGTGCGTTATTAAAAAGCTATCAAGGCAGCTCTGTCGGCGGCGTGGTCAGTAGCGAAGTTATCGTTACTATTTTCTCAATCTGATGTGTTTGTGATATGGCAGTGGTGGATAAATGTGCTAAGAAGGAGATGGGTTATTACACGTGTTGATTGGTTTGTGGGAGTGGAGTGAACGGGGTTTGATGTGTGAGAGGGGAATTGCAGAAGGGCTTGCTTGGGTGGGTTGGTGGCTGGTGGTGTGGCAGCAATGGAAGTCGGATGTGGATGGGGTCAAAAAAAAGAAACAGAGATTTGCACTTTTCTTCTTGGTTCAAGCCTTTGTTACTGCTGCGGCATGTGGACAACAGAACTTTGATATCGGGGCGTCTTTTGTCGATCTGCTTTTTCTGGCCTCTGGCAAATGCTTGTACGATAGTCTAACATGCTGCAGACACAACACAAACCTTTATAGAGATTATAACATTGCTTGATATTATTGATTTTGATTTTTCCTTTTGTGGGTGGTGGGTTCAAATACTAATTGTGTGATATGGGCGTGACATAGAAGGGGGTGGGTCCGGATTTCTGTGTAGGTTATCTCGATTCTGGAATCTGGATGGGATGGGCGAGGTACGGACGGGTCTTGAGGTGTGTTAGGGATGTGGATGGGGTGGAGTTTACAAGTTTGGGGTATGGATATGGTTTTAAGGTATAGCTCGGGTATGCGTTTGATGAGTGATAAATAGGTGAGCAGATAGGATGGGTGAGAGAACGCAGGGTACTGGTATTGTAAAAGCTATAGAATGTGAATGACGGTGATTGGTTTCGGTGGCCGGTGGAAATGAGATACTTCCGGCTCAACTATAGTATATCTAGGTATTGTAGATGTTTAGGGTGGGGTGAATGGAATGTGAAAGAGAGATTTGGTCTGTGGTCTGGTGTGTGTGTGGTCCGTGATGATTTGGTCTGTGTGATGATGGTTTTTGGAATGGTGTTTTAAGTGTATAATATGAATGCGTTCTGTGTGGTGAGACGGGACGGGGATGAGAGGTAGAGCGTGTGGTGGGGGAATGGATATGGTACTATGGTACTATGGATGGAGAGATGGCGGGTTGGGATGTTAATAGTATGTTGAGGTGTTCATGGGGAGAAAAGTGAATGAGAATGAGAGTTGATGTGAATTAAGGGTTAGATATATACCACACGTTCGACGGGTGAGAGGAGAAATGATAGGTGTAGTGTGGTAGGAGTGGAGGTCAGATCGCAAGCTGTTGTGAGATAGTAGTGTTATATTACTGATGCGTATAAGAGTTCAGGTAGCAGTGTATGTCATATCTCGTATTATCTCTATCCCTAAAGCAACGATGTGATACTAAGGAACAAACTTTTTGCTTCTATCATAAACGCTACCTAAGCATGCAATTATAATCCCATTCCGTCACATATTCCATTGACCACGCACACCCGTCCATTCCGCTGGCGCTCTCATCGTGGATGCTTTTAGCAAGCAGCATGAGTCTTCCCTGTCTTCCCCTGCAAACTATGTTTCTCATTCCTATAATGCGGATGCACATTCTGTCGTCTCCCCGAATGACTCTGATTCAGCCTTATAAAATCATTATGTTTCTTGATCTCATCTTTATCCATCTTATCCAGGACTCCCTGGCACAGTTTAATATCGTCGAGCAACTGATCACATCTTGATTTCGAGAAATCCTCGCGGACGACCACACGGAGCATCTTGAGGTCGTTGGTGTGAGGCGCCATGGTGTAAGCTGGGACGACCCAGGAGCGTTGGCGGAGTTGATGGGCGATGGCGAATTCATCGTAGTGTTTGTTGGATTTGGGGTCGATGCGGAAGGCGACGAGAGGGAGACCTTTGCCGTTCTTCTCGGACATGAGGACGAAGCCTAGTTGTTCTAGGGATTCGGCGAGGTAATCGGCTGTGCGGGTGAGATTGCCCATGATGGCTCGGTAGCCGTGTTTTCCGAGACGGATGAGTTGATAATACTGGCCGATGACTTGGGAAGCTCCTTTTGAGAAGTTCAAAGTGAAGGAGGATTGATCCGCTCCTAGATAGTTGATGTTGAAGACGAGCTCTTTTGGAAGGTATTCGGGAGCTCTCCAGACGACCCATCCGACACCTGGATATACGAGACCGTATCTTTGAACAATTAATAACACGAAAAATGGTTAGGCAATGAGTACTTACTTGTGACCAGAAACATTAATAGAGACAACCTTTTCGAGTCGAAAATCCCATTCTAGCTCAGGTACAACAAATGGTGCTACAAACCCACCACTAGCAGCATCGATATGAATAACCGTATCGATATTCTTCTTGATCAACAAATCATTGACCGCTTTAGCATCCTCATACTGTCCAGTATATGTTGTACCCAGAATGACGCAGATACCAATAGTATTCTCATCAACAAGACTAACCGTCTCCTCTGGATCAATCACGTATCGATTCTCCGTGCAGTAAACATATTTCTCCTCGACCTCGAAATATCTCGCGGCCTTCTCCCAGCAGACCTGCACAGCTGAGGACATAACAATATTTGGTCTGTCGGTAGGCTTTCCAGCAGCCTGTCGTGCGTTCTTCCATTTCTTCTTCATTGCCAATACTGCCAGCATAATAGCTTCAGAAGACCCAACTGTGGATGTTCCGACAGGAGCCATGTCTCCATCGAGGGGTGCGTTAAACAATCGACCGATCATGGAAACGCATCTGTTTTGGATATCGGCACTTTGAGGGTATTCTTCGTAATCGATGAAGTTCTTCGAAAATGACTCGGTCATGAGGTCCTCGACTTCTTTTTCCTATGCCAAATTAGCTGGTGTGGTGGCTGCAGGAGGATCGGAAGTCACATACCATGTAAGTTGTGACGAAGGAAGCCAAACTTTACAGTTTCAGTTAGTATAGATACGCAATCTTGAAGTCCCAAGGTTTTCATACTTCAGCATTGGATTTCCATCCAGAGATAAATCGTCTTTGATCATGCGGTATGCAACCTCCTTTGGCATCTCCGTCTCTGGCATCTCATGCTTTGGCAGATCTTCAGATGCGAACCTGGATCCATATACACTGGTCGTGAACTGATCTTGATCGCTCTGTTCAGCTACCTTCAGCTTTTCCATACCCTCGACAAGTGGTTTCCCAATGTCCTTGTTGGTAGGAATTGATGCAAGATGAACCATGATTGCGGTATTGTAGGGTGATGTTGGAGAGGATTGTGGAGGGAGATGGAATGTTGTGTAGGGATCGAAAGCTCGTCGAACTCGAAATATTGCAAAGAAGATGGAAGAACGAAGCAGAGAAGAACGTGGTTTTGTGAATCAGTGTGGAAGTGAACTTGTTTTCTAGTTCTCGTCAGAGGGAGCCAGACGCAGAGGGAGGGGTTAGCCCCTCGTCTCGAACAGTGCGACTGGGATGAGCTGTCTCAATTCTTGGCACGAAAGCTTAAGCTTTCACTATGGGAGACCCAATCATTTTCCGCTTGTGCTGTCGACGGGAAATATTGATTGGTTGACGGGCCAATAATTCAATGATACCTGCCAATACCTGCAGCATGCCGACTACCTACATCAAGTTCGCCAACGTCAACGTCATCAGCAATCGTGAGCAAATAAGTGATTGAGAATTATGGCCTGTATTTGCCGCGGTCGAGTTCTAGCGAGAAATCATGGAGGTAATGATGTGGAACATACCTCGATACATTTCATAAATGGTTTGCCAAGACCTTTATTTTCAAATTGCATGCTGATTATCGGCCATTTTGCTCGTTCGGATTTAAATTCGGATTTAATAAAACTTGAAGCCTATGCAGAAAACCTATATTTGAGATGAAAGACGAAGCTTCGTCCATTTCAATATCTGTACACGCTGGACCATATGCTTTTACGCCGTACTGTAATACATTGGATTTGATACACCCGTTGTATTGCACACCAACGCTGGCTAAGTCGTCATATATAGAAACAGAAACTCGACGGCCAGAAGCAAAGAGCTTCTACGTGTTTTCCATCTCAGGGGGGCCCGAAGGCGAATCGTCTTCAACGAAGATAATTTTGTGAAATATCAAACGGACCAATGTGTTGTGTTCTCTACCGGGCGGTCGGACATAGTCAGCAGCTTACGAAGACGTGCATGACTATAGCCAAACCATGCACTATCGGGAATAATGATTAACCGCATGCATATCATGTTTTTCAATTGTCTATCGATTTTTGATCTGTGGCTTTTAAAATGCGGCTGACTGTCAACACAAGAAAATTATAAAACAGGTCTGCTATTAAGTGTAAATGGCCCTTCAGCTGTGAAATACTTTAAATACTCCAACAATTCAATTTAGGAACCCGGGTCAGGGCATTCATACACAAGTAATCGCCAAGCGCTTTAATTTTTAAGCCCTCAGTTGGTCCGAATCGAATAAGCAGGAAGCAATCAATTAAATCTCACCGTTCGTCCAAGCTGTTTACAACCGGCGTTGCCATAACCACCAGTCCCAGACCTGAAATACTCTTTGAAAGTGTTTGGGTCTAAATTTCAATGCTTTGTTCAAAACTAGATTGCTAGCACTTCACTCTTCTGCGGCTCCGCTTAAAGGGCGTAAGACATAATATCATCTGCTGTGGTCAAGAATTTTGATAAAGTCTCCCATCCGAACTGTTCGATTTTGCCGGTGTGTAATTTGGCAATCCAATCGCAAGTAAGAGACCGTGTTAAAACCAGAATCAATTGCATATGCGTCGAAATTTCATCAATCTTGTGCGACACAATCGAAGGGGAACTTTTCGGCTTTGAACTCGATCGTAATTGCAGTTCTATGAACAGTTGGCTTTTCAGTAACCTAGCCGAAGGAAGTTCAAGGAACTCGCAAGGCGGGGTTTTCGAGGCTCAATTGGAATTTTATTCAAATGCTGGCTCCCTCAGGCCGAACTTCGAGTCAACTTGGAGCCAGGTCCATGAGCAAATACTCTCCAACATTATCGAATCGTGTGCCACCAAGATGCGTCCAATTTCTAGCGGTATTTTGATGTCGAAGATCATCATAGTTTGATTAGGTGGACTCTAATATCCGTCCTCCAGCATCTGCATCACCAGATACCGCATCCGTGTAAGTCGGCGGCTCATTTGGTGGTATATCCACCTGAACATTCAAATTATCATTGTTCGGAGAGCTTGGCTCACCGTGACCAATCCCCGTTGGGTTATTTCGCTCGCTCAATTCTCTCGCCTTTTGCAATTTTGCAATGATGCTGGGCTTAGGAGTGGAGAACCGATCTCTGGTAAACTTCCATTCCAACTCTCGCAAGCTCTGTTGATGATCTTTCATCTCCGCATAAGTGTCAAAAATTCCAACAAGCTGTCGATTATCTTCGTTAGTATGGTATAGTCGCTTCCCCTCTGAGCCTGTCCAGCCCAGACATCCCACGGCAATTTTTGGAGTCTTAGTCTCGGGCAACTTTTGCTTCGCAATAGTGTAATACATCTTGAGGTCGTAGATTGTATCAAGCATTACTTGACTCTGGATTCCGATCGACCTCTCGTCTGCTGCGACCAGTACCCGCTGGAGCTTGGTGAAATTTGCGAACTGGACCGTCGGCTTCATCCTCTTGTCACTCCAATTGGGATGGATCATGATATTACGAAGTTTCAAACTGGGCGATGGAAGCGACTCCGTGAAATCGTGACTCGTAGGTGGTGGTCGATTTGCGATTCGGTATCTAGGTGGTTCGAATGATGTCCAGCCGGCATCAAACCATAGATAATCGTACTTTAGACTGAAATAGACCATCGAGGGAGAAGTTGATACAAGGTCGTATTCTCCATATAGGAAAGCCGCTTCTCTCGACTATCCAATAAATTAGTCTACGTTTTTCTTGTTCGCTCCGGAGCCGAGAGCCGTGTCTAAAGATGAAACATGCTCCCGACCACTAGGAACCAGAATCCGAAGGGAGGAACAAAGGAAAAATACGGACTTCCTGGCACACATGGAGGAGGGCGACTGGATGAGAAGGTCCTGTAAATAGATTGCGGTCGTGGGAATGTTTACACTTTATTATACGTGGTGTGATTGCGCTTTCCCATATTCTTAGTCGGATTTCAACAGGTAGTTGCTGAAACATAGTAAACGAAAGATGAGGCTCGACGTCCAGATCTATTGATTTTGGAGGAGCGACCTCATCGTCATTCCTACTCCCAGATGCCATAGTCACTTAAAGAGAAGATGTCCTAGAGTAGACTCTTAACGAGGGATATATTTCCTGTGATATATCAAGAAACTTTGTCAAGCGTGAAATCCGTTTCGTAGGTGACCCTTCGGTTGCCTTGTCGTCAAGAGTTCGGATGTTGATGGCAAATGAGTCCTGCAGAGCGTCTAAGGCGATAAATGTGTATTGGAGCCTGTTGAGAGTTATACGTTGAAAGAAATCAAAGAATGATATTTGATTGATCCTCTCGGCCGAGTGAGTGTCGGTAGCGGTGGCGAGTCGATTGAACATGAGAACCTCAAAGCGCGTCGATGTTGAGGTGTCATGGTCACGTGAATCGAGTCAGACTGTCTGCGGAGGCCTTCGGGATCCGGATATCAAGGAACATCTTTCAATTTTGGTTACGGTTTCATTTGATGGGAGTTTCCAATGAACTCTCTGTAAATTATTAACATTATCTATACAGTTATCTCCCCAACAAAATCCTATTTAAAGGGTTAAAAGGATAAATAAATCATGTGACCCAGGAGGTCAATTCACCTTCTCGCCTTACCTACGAATTTAGGTGTTTATAACTTTATACACAACTTATTTGGTAACTGAAGAAATTTTACCAAACACTCCCGAAATCACATCTCTCACGAGCCAAATGGAACCTACAAATGCATCGAAACCGGAAGATGATGCTACCTGTGAATTGCTTCCATGCCAAATCACACATCATCTCGATGATCCGAGCAATCTTTCGTTGAGCATCAATGAGTCAAGTTCAGCTGACCAAAGCAACTATCAATCTGCTGAACCCGTCTTCGAATACTTTTCCAAGCTTCCAACGGAAATTCGCTTGATTATTTGGAAATTGTCTTTTCTACCTCGACGCATTATCATTCCACGCCCTTTACCGGATCCAACCTCGCTCCTTGGGGCGTACCTGTCTTGCCGCGAAGCACATGAAATATATTCGAAGGCTTATCAAAGATTTCTACCTCCAAGCCACGTCTTAAGTGCCTACATCAATTATTCAATCGATTCGCTTTATTTGACGAAGACTGGGCTGTCGGATTTCTTTTCTGATCAGGATACTTTAGAGTCAATGACTAGTCTGAAATGGATAGAAGCTCAACACGACTCTTATTATTGGCGCTGCAGAAAAAGACGACTAGCGGCTGCAATAAGTAGATTGAAGTCTTTGAGGTTGATCATTATCCGATAGAAATTAGGCTCCACGTTCGACACGACGGCACCTGGCGCCTCTCGGCGTAGGAATCATGATGAACACGCTATGGCGGCCGGCAGTACTTTTAGATTGCTAAGAGAAGCCCTTTCAAAGACGACAACTTTCCCGAAGCCGAAGCTTGCCGTGCTTTGGCCCGAAGAAAGATTCTCCGTGTCATATTTCAAAGATGAATGGGAGGAATACGACCTACCTGGAATGCCTTACAATCTTGCCTCTGATTTCAAAATTCCGTGTGAGATGGTCTTGGATAGATTTGAGGTTAGCATGCCTATAGAGTGGCGTTCAACATGGCCTGGGAAACGAAATCTTATCCAAAGCGGATGGCTTGCTCATGAAGTCGAGTTGCTACCCGAGGCGAATTCGACTCAGTCTTTAGAAGTACTGTAACCACCTACATATTAGCACCAAATACATTCAATCCTCTGGGATAATACACTTGTGCAATAAATGAATCAACCGTGGCTCTTGCTTTTACTGTATCTTCCTAAGTCATGGCTTTCCAACTCTTGTCAAAATGGTTGCAAAATTACCAAACGGAATCCGCTCGCAGCGAGACCGCTCCATTTCAAGTTTCACACATTCGCGAAGCCCTCCGATTACGGGGTGTTGAGATTGATACATGAATTCCATTAAATTTACATAGCTTCTACGAACTACCTATTACAAATTGCCTAATCTTATGAACAAGTGTCTGGAGCAAGGTGTCTAGGTAAGCTTTATTTTACCTGTCGATAGGCTTTTGCTTGAGAGACCGGAGGATTCGTGCCTCAAGAGGTTGCCAAACTATTGTGAGATCTTCCAGTATCATGTTGCGGGCTTGGAGTTATGGGAGTGAAAATCTCTTAGCAGTGCTTACGTGTCTGAGTTGTTGCGATAATAAAATTTTGACGAGGTCTTCGTCCATTGGGGAGATTGACTGGCACTCTTGAGTTTGATGTGACTTGAAGCACAGGATGTCATTGAAACATATGTACTCAGGCTTATCGGTGATTCTATTGCGCTTAGGAACTAAGTCCAATAGCTGGTGATAAGCTTCAGGCTAGGCACTGGAACCCTACAGTGATCATCAAGGTTCATGCAAAGATCTTATTCAGAGACATGGCCTGCCCATTGAGAGAATTCCAGAGTGTTACCCAGAGTAGTATGACTTGCGACGAACGGATAAGTCACAGTTTCTTTTGACCGCCCTGTTCACATGAATTATAATAAGAAACAACTAGGTTGGTAGTCGTGCTTTCGGTTTAAGTGCCGGAATGCGCCTGGAATTTTTCTAATCACCGGAAATAATAGAGAAAATGTAAGACATTGTGTTAATGTGAAAGGATGAAGTTCACGTTCAAATTACTACTACTTATTGAAGTCAATCATTAAAGTCTTTAAAGTGTGTTCATAAGTGTAAGCAACTGAATACGTGCTTGTGATTTAAGATTTGAAAAATAAGTAATTTGAAGAATTGCTTGAAATCTTTCAGTAAAGATCGTCTAAAGTATATTATCTTGAATTATATTAGATAACATTCTGTATATAATTATCCGAAACATCATCACAAATATAATGTTGAAAGGTACTCAAAAATGGTAAGCAATGCTATAGGAGATACTGTCTCAAAAAACAATAGGTAATACCGTACTAAGTAATACCTCAAACTTTAACAGACAACGATCTGTCCGCAATTGATTCAAAATAATATCCTAAATGTAATTATAAAGCTTCCTTTAATCATAGTAATTAACTATTCCAAAGTAATCCCTTAAATAATAAGACACATTATATTGTACGTAGTTACTTCAAGGTATTATAGTATTTATAAGTAGAAGGGTTACTTGAATTATGATAAATATTGCCACATAATACGATACCTCAAAAGCTAAGACACATTACACGGTATACGATTATTTTAAGTATTATCCTATATATAAGTAGAAAAGTTACTTTAATTATAAAAATAATTACATATAACACAATACCTTAAAAGGTGAGACACATTACATGTTATACGGTTACTTTAAGTCTCATATTATATATAAGTAGAAGATTTACTCTAGTTATTAAAACTAATGCCGTATAATAGAATACTATATACAATAAAAGACATTATATTACGCGATTATCTTAGAGAATTACATTATTTATAAAGAGGAGAATACTATAAATATTATAAGTAACGCTGTACGGTAGGATACATCAAAAGATAAGAGACATCACTTTATAGGCAATTAACTTAAACAATTATAACATGTATAAAGAGAAGAATTATTCTGAATGTTATAAAGAATGTCGTACAATAGGATGTCTCACGCACAGAGAGACATCATATTGAACGGCATTACCTTAAACAATTACAATATATATAAAGAGAATAATTACTCAAAATATTATAAATAATGCCGTACAATACAATGTCCCAGAGAGTGAGAGACATTCTATTGTACGCAAATACCTCAAACAATTAAAAAGAATAGAGAGAGGAGAATTCCTCTAAATTTTAAAAGTAATCCTGTACGATACGATGTTTCAAACAAGGAGAGACATCACATTGTACACAGTTACGTCAAAACAAAAGAGGAAATACAATATACATTGATTGAATTCAGTTGAGTAAATGTCGAGTCACAATGTAAAAGCAGAATATTGATGATGATGAAATTGTATTGTACTGCCATTTACAGTGATGGCGGACCCCTGACGCCTCGCTACCCCTAAACTATCCCAAAACTCCATGAATCCCAATCAAGACTAAAAATACATGAGATCTGGTGTTTTCAGAGGTTCGTTCCAATAATAGAAAACCCCATCATCTCCCACAAACCCGTCCGAGAAGGGATACCAGATTCCGTTTACATAATTCCCATTTTTATTGGGTTTCCGCTCGTGCGTTAATCCGTCCGGAGCCAAAAACGAGTTACCCATGTCGCCAGCATTGCTGCTCGCAATGCTTTTCCTGTTGTGAGACATTAGCAAAATCGTTCAGGATGAAGAGATCAGAATATACTTTACCTTAGCTCTTCTTGTCTACGCGCCCAATCTTCTTGACGCTCCCTTTCTGCTACCTCGCGTTTCTCCTCCCGCCGTTGGCGCGCCTGTTCTTCCTTTATCTGAGCCAACAATGCTGTTTCTTCATTCAATTCTTCTTCAGATCTGCCCAATGTGTACGGGCGACCGTGGGGCGTGCCATCTGGTCTAAGGGCACGCCTTTGAACTGGTCGTGGGGGTGCTGGAACGGGTGCTGTAGCCGGCGCTGGGGGTACTGGTAGGAAGGGTGCTGATAGAAGGGGTGCTGGCGCGAGGGGCGCTGGTGCTGCTGGTGCTTGAGGGGGGGAGACCGAAGGAGGAGCCGCTACAGAAGACCCTACTGAGAAGGCCGGAGTGGAGGGACTGCTGGAGAATATACCACCGAAGACATCAGGAGACGAAGAACCAGCGGACGAGAAAGGAGAGGGTTGAGAGGTGCTGGATGAGGACTCGGTGGGGAGGGCAGGAGCATAATATTTGTCCCAGTTGAAGAAAGACATGTCAGAGTCATTGTAGTTATTCATACTGAAGGCGGTTGATTGGTTTGTCGTTCTTGCTGTTGGTTACTGGGCTGTGTTGTGAATGATTGTTCTTCGTATGAAGACGTGGAGATTATATAGTTAAGAGTGGCAGTGATCACGGCTAATCAGTGATTAGGGACACCACATCACTTCAAGCCGCCAAATTGCTCTGATTGGATGAAAAAGATCACTCTGGCGGACGCACAGTCCAGTTTGTTATCAAATTCTAGGGCAGATTCAATCGCGAATCGCGTCGCGAGATCAAAGAAGGTGGAATCGACTAGAAAATCACCTACTGGTGACGAAACATCAAGAAGGGGGATCGAGGACTAGGAGAAAACGCACCCAGGCCGTCGCGCTGGGTCCCAAACTTTGGAACTGCCGACTTACAGAAGTTAACAACCATTATTGAGATAGGTGGAAGTCACAGCAGGTTCAGAATGAGATTGGACGCTGAAATGCAGAGGAAATGTAGAGGAATCACTGGTGATGATATTCGTAGCAGATAGAGAAGACTCAAGAATACAATTGTTTGCAAAAGGAGATTGATTTGATGAGTGTCCAGATCCATTTTACTAGGCCCATATATTGCGAGAGCTAGGCACACATGTACGCAAAGAGTATGTGGTAATTCAACATGGGCTCAACAACAGCAAACGGGCATGTATGTAAACAGAAAGTTCTCAAGCAATATTCTTGCCAATACAGTACACATATTGAGTATCAATTGAGTTATTCTGCCTCGTAAATCTCCCGATATCTTACTTTCTGTTCATACTCCCATAACGGCATTGCTGCGCCAAGGGATCTGCAGACAGGGGAAGGAAAATTTTGAGTTTTAGGAATAAGCTTAATTGCAATAAGGCTGACCAGGGGTATTGCTCGTATGCGTCACAACCCAGTGACCCCGATCGACAGTCCTCAATCGAACAGAGGACAGGAATGGTTTAGCCGCATCACAGAGGACTCTCGATGAAAATGGTTTAGCCCTATCACAAAGGAACTGAGAGACGGCATTGGTTGGTGATACCTCCACAGAACCATACCGAAAAGGAAGGATGACACAGAGGAAGGGGAGGTATCACCTGCTGAGGTGCAACCAGAGGGACCATGCCCGCGGGGGAAGTGGAAGTGTGAATTGGTAGGTAGCTTGAGCCGCGACGGCAGTGAGAGAGAATCTACCGGGATGGTCGTGAGTTACAAGCCAGCTCAGTTGATGAGGTGACTTGTATGTACACGATAAAGCTCACGAGAAAGCTCATCTAGCAATAGCTCATTCAATGATATGATTAAGTTTAACGAAAGCAAATGATAGAAGAACTCAGCGAGTTGAGTTGTGTTACAGGATAGGACTTGGGCGGCTGTTCTGCCTACCGCGGCAACAGTGTACATAGTGACCGACCACTACCCCACAGCATCGCGAGTTGCATTCCAGCACACTCAATGAGACAACATTCATGTGCACAGCAAAGTCCAACCGGCGATATTCGATAATACTTTGATGATGGCAATCGCATACAATGTATGAACCCATTAAGCCAAGAATTGACGGTATTTACCCGCGCAGGATACCTTGTTCGCACAGCAGCGCTCGCGATCAAGTCGTGACAGCCATAGGGCTGCGCCTAAAGCTTCTGCTGCGACACTGCATAGCAGCATTGTTCAGGGTGCACTTGCCAATTGACATAACACCACAGTACTCGCAGTCTTCACTATGTGCAATTACAAGAATAAAATGCAACTCCTAATACGACAATGTGATCATGCATTATACTATATCTCACACGCGACGTCTGAATAACATACTTCAGCCCCTCACAGCATAATTCAAGCCCATTAAACCCAATTTAGATTCTCATACACCCCCAAATAACTTTAACCCCATCTCAAGATCATGACCGCCTCCATCGTGAAGGTGCATAATCGCCAGATAAGCAGAAAAAGTATAAGGGATGTGCTTGTCGTCATAGGCTAGTACAGAGCCTCAGACATAGGGAAGTGACGTTGGCTTGGCCCCTGATTTAAGCGAGATTCGCGCTTAGCGAGATGTGGGGGGAAATGAGGGGATGAGATGAAATGAGATTTAAACCACGACAAAATGAGAAGATGAAAATGAGATGATAATAGATGGTAATGAGATAGAAAGAGGTGGTGTTTTAGATGGTAGATGGTAAGGATGTGGTAAATCAATGAAAAACGATAAAGCGATGAAATTGCAACGAAAATAGCGGTAAAACGATAAGTGATATAGCAATAGCAATAAAAGCAGAAACAGCAAATGAAATAGCATATAAATGATAAACGTAACAGCAATAAAAGCAATGAAACAATAAATGATGAAGTGATAAACAGGTAAATGATAGAGCAACAATAGAAGATGAGGTGAAATAGCAATAAAATGGCAAATGATATCGCTATAGCAGTAAGATCACAACTGGTATAGCGATATGACTTGCCATCTCATTGCCATCCAATTGTGAAGAAATACATGCTTCAAGTGCACGCACTTATGGTTCTTCTCATATAATCAATTTTCTGAGATATTGACTTATGTAAAATTCCTTGCTAGAAGCCCGATTTGGTCCCCTGTTTCCCTCTACTACTCCTACAACCCATTGTACACTATTATACAGTATGCAGGAATTAAATGACTTTTGCTTTTGATACAGTCCGCATATAGCGATGTTGCGGGTATTGAGGGTATCGGGGCGTCGCGGCGCCGAATAGACTGGTGGAGTCGGGGTCTAATATAGCGTGTAGTGAGATGAGGAGGGCAGACGCGTTTCTTCTTCTCAAAGTATTTCCCAAATCATCGCCATTTCATTGCACAGCGACTTCGACACGAGAAGGAGTGCGGAATTCATCAAATATTTCGGCAGATTCGTACACGTATCATGGAGATAAGATGCGTAATGGTATTATGGTGATAACTCCCCAATGACTTCCTCCTGCTCATCGACTAACGGTTTCGCAGGACGCGTACGACGTGCATACGCCAACAATCGCAGAAGCCCAGACGGAGTCATTCCTTCAATACGATGAGCCTGGCCTATCGATTCCGGCTTCGTCAATAACAGGACCGCCCTCTCGTGCATAGAAAGTCCATGGATGGAGGCGTAGTCTAGGTCAACTGGCAGCCTCAAGTTCTCGTCCCTCTGAAACACTTTCATCTCGTTCGTTTGACGGATAACATAAGGTGCGTAGACGGATTCGATCCAGACTCTATTCTGAATGCGTGGAGAGAAATCGTTGACTTCTGGGACCACAGCCGCGATATCAGACATTTGGACACCGGCTATTCTCAATATCTCGAATGCTGTCCTACGACTCGTATCATTGCCGACTTTGAATCCATATTTGATCCAGTTGGGTGGGCTGATGGCTTTCTCGGTGAGAAAATCGGTGAGCATCTTTATTTGCAACATTTCGTCTTGGTATGCTTGCCATCTTTTGTCACTTACAACTCCGGCTTCACGACCCATTTCAGTGAGTCGTTGATCCGCGTTGTCTGCTCTAGCACTCATTCTGTATTCGCTACGAGATGTGAACATACGATATGGTTCAGATACGCCTTTGGTGATAAGATCATCAATCATTATTCCAATGTATCCATCACTACGTGATAGAACCATTGGGGGCAATGACTGTGATCTGCGGCCGGCATTAATTCCAGCCACAACACCCTGGGCTGCGGCTTCTTCGTACCCCGTAGTACCATTGATTTGGCCTGCCAAGAAAAGGCCACTGATAGCTTTAGTCTCAAGACTGGCTTTCAAACTTCGCGGGTCGACGTAATCATATTCAACTCCATATCCTGCTTGCAACATCTCAACATTCTCCAACCCTGGTATTGTTCTCAACAATTGTTCTTGAGCATCAGCAGGAATTGTCATTGATATGCCATTAGGATATACGACATCGCTTTCGAAACCCTCAGGCTCGAGCCAGACAATATGTCGTTCTCTGTCGGCAAAGCGTATAATTTTGGACTCGAGTGACGGGCAGTATCTTGGCCCTTTCACAGACTCTCGAATATGGATAGATTTATCAAGATTTGCTCTTACAACGTCGTGAGTGGCCGCGGTAGTGTACGTTGCATGGCACAGTAGCTGATCTTTGACAGATACTGTATCGTTCATATAGCTGAATGGCATAGGCGGGTCATCACCGTACTGCACAGCGAGCGACGAGTAATTGATACTCGCCTTGGCCAATCGCGGCGGGGTACCTGTCTTCAACCTTCCGAGTTTGAAGCCAGCGTCTTTCAACGACTTGCTCAAACCAAAGGTTGCAGCCTCTCCCATACGCCCAGCAGGGTAGCACTCGAGGCCAATATGAATTTCACCCCCGAGGAAAGTACCAGTCGTAATGACTACTTGATTTGTCGGTATGATCTGACCAGATTCTAGTCGCACACCAGTTATCCTCCCACCAAGAGCATTGGGATCGTCGCGCACGACAATGATATCTGCCACACTTCCAGGAATAATGGACAGATTGGGATACGTTTCCAACTCATGGCGCATATGGGTTTTGTACAGATCTCTATCGATTTGCGCTCGAGGTCCCTACCATCGGTCAGTCGTCTCGTTCCAATTGAGTAATCCCTGGAGTTTGATGCTACCCAGACAGCAGGTCCCTTCTTCTTGTTCAAGACCTTGAATTGGACACCAGCCTTATCGATTATCCGTCCCGCGACACCGTCCAGCGCATCGACCTCCCGCAACATCGTTCCCTTTCCAATCCCCCCAAAACTCGGATTGCACGAACATACTCCTATATTATCGATCTTCGGGGTGATGAGGGCAGTCCTCGCACCAGACCTCGCAGCGCCAGCACATGCTTCCGACCCAGCATGACCTCCCCCAATCACGACGACATCGTAAGGTCTACAACGGGAATTAAGTATGGGATTGAGGGTATTTTAGGAGTGGTGGCGAGCTACCTTGTGCTTTCGGAGACATCTGCGAACCGCCGGCGTTGAAGGTTGAAAGTCTTAAATGGTATGCTGCGAGATATGGGTATGCGACGGGATGCGACGATGGTTTTCTGCATTCTTCAAGGCCAGAGAGGGTGGAATTGCGACGGTCGGGTGGTTCGGGTTGGGACTGAGATTCTTTTCGCGATTGCGCTCGGCGGCTGATCTTCGCTCGGACTTTTGGCCACGCATGGGTAGCTCGACAGCATCGACATTGCGCAACAACCACAAACGACAACCACAAACGCCAGCTTCAGGATATCATTTTTGGGAACGATCACGACCAACCGTTGCGCAAAGGAGAGAGCCTAGAATTTTGAAGCATATATATTTGAGTTCGCGTATGACGTAGCCCTACTGGCATAGCGCACATTAGAACACAGTCGGTATCACTTGGGACACTTTAAGCCCTCCCGGTTCTGAAGCCATCCAATTCAACATCATTAATGGGGGATGTAAGCCTCTGGAAAAATCTTTAGGTTTCTAGGCGCAGTCTGTTAGAAAGCATATATTAGACGGCCCACGCACTCGTTGCATTTTTGAATCATAACGCCCGGAAAGGTTGTCCTTCTCAAGATTGCACACCACCAATGATAACCAATAAACCAGGGGAATACTGTCTAGGAATGTATTAGATACGGGTATCTGGTCCACACGCCTTGGAGGGCGGTTTTTGGTGGATGCTGAAATCTGATGTCATAATTCAAGTGCCCAGGTGCTCCCTAAAATCTCTAAAATCTCTTTGATGATATTTGCGGAGCCAAGAATCGGATGAAAAAAACCAACCACATTTCCATTATCAGAATGTATTCCTCTAACAATTATTGCCGTTGCAAAAAAGCTTGTTCGTCAAAACTTGCCCCACTAGAAGGTTAGCCGCTCGGTTACTCAAAACCACACAAATCTGTGTTACTCCTAAACAAAGAGAGTTAGGGGTAAAAAAGACAAAAATCATTTGACAACTGAGCGATTCGAACGCTCGCGGATTGCTCCACTGCGAAACTCGTGACTTGGGAAAGCCAGCCTGAACACAGCACCTTAACCACTCGGTCAAGTTGCCTCTTGATTGGTTCAAAAATGTGCTTACTTTAGTATATAAACGTAACAATTTCTGCGCGACGAAAATAAAATTGTTCCTAATTCGCTCTTCACTTAACTCTCAACTGAATACGGTTGTTTCTCTCTACAGATGGGACAAATCCAAGCAATGCGTTACTGAACACTGTCGTGTCTGCGATTCAAGATGCATGGATCAGCGCAAGAAGCAAAATTAGGGGTGGAGTACGTCGCTCTATTGACTAATGATCGCTCGAGACTTGATAATGTTCTCAGTGCTGATGATAAAGTTTACTTGAATAATTCCTCCATATTTCTTCAACCAGCCCAAATCCCCAAGCCTGAACGAACTCAGGTTTTCAGCATCCACCCACTAATCGACTGTGATAGTGACAAAAAGAAATGTTTGCAGAATGTGCCGTGGGTTAAATCGGATAGAACAAAAGAAAAGCGTGGTAAAGATCGTCTACCTCGACAAAATGAGGTGTTAATAAAAACCATTGACCCGGTGGACACCAGCCAGCCGCATATGTTCCTTACACAAAAAGCCTAAAACAAAGAGAAATTCCAAGCTACGTAGTCAACAGCTGTCGCTGTTAGTCAGGCAAGTTGACCCAAAACGCCGTTGTCGCCTGCTCCCTCAAACTACTGCATGGTATTTTCAAGATGTCGTAACGCCATTATTCATATCTCGAACATAATTCCCGGCTTCCCTGCCGGACCCCACAACATCCTAACGCTGCGAAGAGTCTAGGTTTAGTAGTTTGCGCAGACTGTTCTCCATCCCTTGAAGATCCGTATTCTTATTTCCAGATGAAACGCCGTATGATAACGAAGGAGAAGGAGATGCAACCTGAGACGATGAGCTCCTAATAAAATTGCCGTGATTTGAATTCATGACATTGCCGTATATTTGAGAATTAATAGGTGAATGAGCAAATTGTGTGTTGCGGTCAGGTGTCATTGAAGGAGTTTTGGTAGGAGTAACTTCCTGACGAAGACCAGAGGCACGAGCAGAATTGTTAGATTGGTACATACCCCTCCGCTCTTGATTTTGATGGAAGCCATTTTGTTGCGAAGGAGGGGCCATAGCTGGACTTCTCTGATTATTCGGAGAATAGGTAGAATTGGGAGTCATTGGAGATGATCCAATGGTTGTTGTAGTGTGATTTGGAGGTGGAGAGACCGTATGATCAGAGAAGAGGTAGGCCTTCAATGCTTCAGACCGCTCCAAGGCATTTTGCGCATCCTCACGGGGACGGTTCTTTTTGGCAGCGTTAATACGATCAGAATAAGGAGTGGAGAACGCTGGGCCAAGAGAAGCCCCAGGACTTTGAGGACCATCTAATTCCATCGCAAACATGCCACTACCACCGGTCGAAGTCCTCTGGACATGACTTGGTCGTCGCTGGCTCCCGACTGCTGGCGGTGTTTGGATATTTCGATGGTCTTGTGGTGGGGGGAAAGGGCCTGTAGCTTTCAGAGCAGGATTAAGTGAGCTAGCACTCCGCGCCCTTTCCTTTTCCGCCCTGTCTGCTCTGAAAAAGAAGTCAAGTGGTGACTCTTCTCTTGGGACTTTGTCACCCAAAGGTAGTGTTGCGGGAGGGGTTGGTGATTCTGCTTCGGACAAAGAGGCTTCTTGAAAGGACCTAGTTGTCTTCAACCCAGGCGAGTCTGGCACAGATTTGGAGTAGAAGCTAGGTATCGGAAGAGCAGAAGGAGCAGGTGAGGCATGAAATGTTGGTCCGGCGAACATTCCATTTGACGGTGTATTCATCGGTTTGGAGGGTAGCCCAGCAGAGCTCGTACTTCCTAGTGGAGGGGTGGTACGATCCCGCCCTTTCATTGCGGGTGATGTCGTTACATTCTGCGGCTTATTTTTCTTGTTTCGCGACTTCTGTTTCGATCCATTTTCGCGGGCGGTCGAGTTGGTAGCATTCTGAGCTTGATTGTTTCTGCGAGGGGTTCGAGGAGGAGTGGTTGGTTGAGCGGGGTAATTCATATTGGAGTTCGTGTCGCGCGAATGGGCCTGCGAGTTGAGATGTTGTGGGTTTTGAGGTTGTTGCGAAGAAGGTGTAGTGTTTGGTATCGGAGTATTACGAGTCTGACGATATCTTCTCGATGGTATGTCTTCAGATGACATAGCTCCCTAGGCTTATAAATAGACAGCCACGATGGGAGCAAAATGATAACAGTTGAATAGCGGAGAGCCGCAAAGTGACAGAAACTGGTGCTAGGTAGTTATGTTCGAGCAATGAAGCCTTCCCTAGAGCAATGTGCAAAGAGGTGGAGGTTGATCGCTGGAGAGGTCGCTTGTGTCGCAAAAGAGATAGCTTTGTGTTCTTCGGGTTGTGCAGCTGGTAGAGTAGGTTTCCGAGATTATGCAGTTCATTGTTCTTTCTTGAAAGGTCTACCGGAGAAGTTTGATGTGGTGTCTCGGGATGAGGTTGGTTGTTTGGTAGTGGGATCGGGAAGGAATGGGTTCGAGGAGGCTGATGACAAGACGCGGGCGCGAACGGTGGACAGAGTCGGCCGCCGTACCTCCATCTCAAGATGCAATTCGCCGCATTCACTTCTACGTAACAAACAAGCAAGTCAAATTCAACCCTGCCATTCATGCTTAATTTACACTAAGCTGCAGTCAACGCCGTTTCACTCTTACTACTCGTGCCAGACGAATCTTCTAATTTAACGACCCTTGTATTTCGCCAGTCCTCGGAGCTCGACAACACAATATCCTGCCTAAGAGTACCCCTCCATCTCGAACTGCGGAATCCGAACCACGACCAAATCAACAATATGGCAGACGTAGATATGACTGATGCCCCATCTGGGTCAACGGCGCCAGTCAAAAAGGCAACTGGGAAATCCAAGGCTTCTGGAGGAGATGGTGCTGATGGAAAGAAGCGTTTTGAGGTCAAGAAGGTGAGGCAGCTCCTTACACCATACCTCATATGGCATTTACTAAAGACTTAACAGTGGAACGCCGTCGCTTTGTGGGCTTGGGACATTGTTGTAGATAACTGCGCGATCTGCAGAAACCATATCATGGACTTGTGTAAGCTTGCCTAATGCTTCTATGGCCAATAGTGCTGACCTCCAGTACAGGTATTGAATGCCAGGCAAATCAAGCATCGGCGACGAGCGAAGAGTGTACCGTTGCGTGGGGTATTTGCAATGTCAGTTACTCCTACTGTTCTATAATTTCTAGATCGCTAACATCTCGATAGCATGCTTTCCATTTCCACTGCATCTCTCGATGGCTTAAGACGCGTCAAGTGTGCCCGCTGGACAACAGAGATTGGGAATTCCAGAAGTATGGTCGATAAAGGACAGGCAGATGGATGAAACATACAAAGAAAACCGAACACCATAACGATGACAATGGAATTGATGAGAGCTTTTGGGGGGGCATTGAAATGCGTACGAATACAAGAAACCTAGTCTTTACGGGTTATTCAAGCTGGTGCCCACCAGGACTGCAGGCGCAATAGAGGCGATGCTGTGGTGACGGCGTTCGGGTATGCATATACAAATAGGAACGGCGTGGGGATATGACATGTGCTTCTCTGCATAGCATTTCTATGATGCGGTAAATGTACTACATTTTTGCGGTTCTTGCTTCCTATTTTCCATTCATCTCGAGCCGAAACGCCATCCCTATACCTATGCCCTTTGTGAATCTTATCCAACGACCTGCCCATCAACCGTGATTCCTTGCGAATCTTTTGCTACACCTCCCACCGGTAACCATTTGATCGGATGGCGATTGAAGAAAGGCCATGGTGGAACGACGAGTGCCATTGTGAATGCTGTTCCAAGTAATCCCGTTACAAGAGCAAGCTTGATATCTTGTTTGATGTGTCCAGCAACGAAAGCGATCACCTAAACCTGGTCAGCGATTGGCACCACATGGTGACGTTACCACCTACTCCGAATAACGACAAGAGAGCTGTTGCCAGAAACTCCGCAAACCGCTGCCCTTCGAAGTCCTACAAACGTCAGTGAACCATATCCCGCAGAAACGATTCATTACGAACAATTTGGCCCTCGGCAATATCTCGCGCTTTATCGAGTATTTGGTCTGCCATCTTCAATCAAGATTCAGTAATTCCAGTTGATGTTGCGTATAGATCAGATTTTGTGAACTGTAATTCTGGCCTCATGCTTCCTTCGAGGCTGCGGGACAAGGTTGTACCTGGCACGTGATAGAGGATGAGGCTGGAGCAGACACTTCTAAGTTCGGCAACTCTTCATTGCTTGGCACTTTATGAAGTCATATGCCTCATATATTTTTGGGCAAATAGAATACTACCTATAGATTGGAGATAAGACTCTTGTGGCGAAATATACAAGTGAATGTGCAATATCTGACATTACGTGGTATAAACCAAGCACAGTCATCTCGAACAAAGAGGTTTTTACCAAGACCAGTCGCAGCCAGTTAGAGGGGTGGACCTCATCGGTTGCAAAGCCTTGTTCCTTGACTGGTGCAAAACCATAGCCTCTTCATCCAGACGCCAGTCGTAAAAGCTTGAGCCATATTTGACATGCGCTCGCTCTTCCTCCCTTTCTCCTTTACAACAACAAACCCAAGGTTTCGAACCAACCTCCTGACCCAAATCGACTAACCTCAAATCCAGAGTTTCTCAGATCCCAACATCGAATCTGAGTGACCCAAACCCGACTGTCCATCACCGCTTGTGTGTGTCGCGGACCGATTCCTCACCCTGACCGGTATCGTCATTGTGATCATTCCTATCGCATCCGAAAATTTTGCACGACAACCCTACGAATTCACCAACCACAACCTCACATATACTACCTACCAAGAAATAAATCCGGAAGAGTTGCACGATTTTGGAAACACTCGCAGTTCTTTTTCACCACAAGACCAAACGAAATTCACAACATCGCCTCGGCGGCCATAATATAACAACCACCAAGTTGGCGGGACTCGTACTTCACAAGTTCTCCTTCATCCGTCCGCTCCTCGGCCCAAAAAGCTGGGCGTATTGCGGAGGCGACAAGAAGCCTCCATAATTGGCCCTACGAGCTACAACAGAAAACATTTGGAACACAACAGACATAAAGATAACTCCCACGAGGAGATTGGGCGGATAATCCACCATTGAATACTGTGTACAGGGCATATCCTGTGCAAAACCCTCTATCAAATTGACGCCAACACGCGGTGGGCGCTCGGTGCGACCCGCCTTATTACCTTGAAGGCGCTTTTGGAAGGATAGTTGCTGGTCTGAGTTGGTAGATTTGCCGCAGGCTTTGGGAGAACTGAAAGGAGGAAACCACGTCAAGTATCCGTTACAATGTCGGACCACGAGGATACCTTTTCCAACACTGGTTACAGCACTCCGGTGCCTGAACTTGATGATCATACACACCAGACTGCTTCTGTGCAAAAGCAACGTTCTCGAAGGGGTACCGTTGATACTATCCACAGCTTCAATCCCCGAGGTTCGACCAATCCAGATCTTGGACTCGTCAACCAGGGACTTTTACACACCACTCCAAGAGATTTTGAACATGCCGTAATCGACGAGGAGCATTCTCCGAGCAACGGTCGACGTGGGAGTAATGTCAGGAGCCGACGTGGAACTGTTACCACCATCGATCCACGATCAACATCTCCGCCCAACTCTGTGAAAGCATTTGCTGACGCCCGTCGACGGGAGCGTGAACTTTCAACAAACGACCCAATCTCTCCAAAGGGTCTCGTTGAGCCCAGAAGACTCGATGAGTGTGACCTTCGACGAACGACATCTGCTGCAAGCCGTCCTAGTCTTCACAGCAGACGATATACAAATGATAATGATTCAAAGAGTCTAGCCGAGTCAATCAAGTCTGAGGCTGAAGAAGATGTTTGTTTCCCCCTACACAATACTGGTAACAAGAATACTCTTCAAATCGATTTTGAGGAGTTGGAAGCATTCATTGCCGAGGAGGAAGATCGAGAGAAGACTCCGCCAAAGGGCCAACCCCAAGCACGGGTATTCAATGATCTACGACCACAGAAAGCGGGCCAGATGAATATTCCCACCATTATAACATCCGATGGAGACTTCATTGAAACGGGAACTCAAGACTCGTCGATCATGGACGAGAAAGTCAGAGATGAAAGTATGGAAGAACTTCCAAGCGATACTCAAACCGGCACCGACATCAACCGCTTCGAATTCTTCTCGTCTGAAGGAGAGGCAACTATCCACGCAGCAGAATTTGGCGATTTGATAATGCCAGGAGAGGACGTACGAACCCTCTTTAGCCTTCCGGAAGGCGGAGAGGAAGACGGTGTTTGGTGGCTGAACATGAACAACCCAACAGAGGAGGAGATTCGAGCGATTTGCAAAGCTTTTGGAGTTCATCCACTTACCATAGAGGATATCGGGACCCAAGAGGCAAGAGAGAAGATTGAGCTATTCCCATCTTACTACTTTGCCTGTTTCCGCTCCTTTCATGTTGAGCAAATCGAAGGAGGACAGGAGTACGAGCCATTCAACATCTATGTTGTTGTTTTCCGCGAAGGCACGCTAAGCTTCAGCTTTTCTCCTAACCCTCATGCCGCACACGTTCGTAAGAGAATCACGATGTTGAAGGATTACGTTGCTCTTAGCAGTGACTGGATCTGTTATGCTCTGATGTAAGTCATAATATCTTCAGGAGTTATGCCAATCATGCTGACGTTTTTTCTAGTGATGACATTGTTGATTCCTTTGCACCCATCATCACCAAAATCGAGCATGAAACAGACGCCATTGAGGATGAAGTTTTCGTTGCTCGTAATGATGATATGCATTCTTTCTTGCGAAGAATTGGCATGGTCAGAAAAAATGTTATGGGCTTGATGAAACTCCTAGGAGGGAAAGCCGACGTCTTGAGAGGTTTTACGAAGCGATGCAACGCCAATTACAAAGTCACGCCTCGCATGGACATCGGCCTCTATCTTGGTGACATTCAAGATCACGTTGTTACCATGATGACCAACTTGGCTCATTTCGAAAAAATGCTATCTCGAAGTCACAGCAATTATCTTGCTCAACTCTCCATCGACAACATCACACAAGGAAATCATGCGAACAGAGTTCTCAGCAAGATTACTCTCTTGGCATCCATCCTTGTCCCGCTCAATTTAGTCTGTGGTCTGTTTGGCATGAACGTTCACGTTCCTTGGGGAGGAGGCGATAATCTTGGACCATTTTTTGGAATCTTTGGTTTCCTTATTTTCTTTACCATCCTGAGTCTTTTCCTTGCTAGAAGAATGCGCTATATCTGATGGAGGAAGAGAAAACGATAGATAGAAGGTGATGAGGTATCATACTTGACGCATTAGAAGTGACGTGGACGGTTTCTTTTTGGATAGAAGCCTCTCAGGGCATCATGCGACCTCAGACATGGTTTAGTTCATGAGTAACATATTTATATAGAGATTTCAGTTAGATGAAAAATCTGTTGGTAGAACCTGCGCGTAATAATGAAATTGCATTTGGTCTTTTCATGTTCATGACTGCGGATTAACGATATCGAAGTCTTGTGACTCGTAGCTCTATGCCAATCATGTCTCCCGAATAGCATGTTTTCTGGAAAAAGGAATACTGTACGGGTGAAATACCATCTGTCGTTGCGTTGAAGTAGTGAATTCCCCCTACCTGAAAATTTAGGCCCAAGCTCCATCCCATGCGCGCATCACCTCGAGGTCCCAAAATTTCGAAGCTCCCTCAAACCACACGCATACCAACAAGTCGCATAGCCATCTTCCACCGCACACCCATCTTCCACCACGCACCCATCTTCCACACAAATAACCCACTCAATCACACAGTCGCACAATCACAATGGACTCCCCATCCACGCAACTCGACGGCAACATTGATCTCTCGAAGCTTTCGGATAGGGATAAGCAGGAGCTACAGCAGTTTCTGGTTAATGAGACGCAGAAGGCTAGGATTCAGCAGAGTATGTCCTA